TTGATTGAATGATTTCATTCGTCAAGTATGAGCAAATCTACAATATGGGAGAAAGGAAATATTAACTTAAAGGTACACAATGGGGGGGGGGGGGGTATAGCTAGTGTTTCGTTATATGTTCAGGATTATTTTGTATTTAGTGTAAATCACTAGATTATGGTTTGATGGTTGGGCTTGGAGGGCAACGGACTCTTTATTGTTATCATTATTTGAAGGTGGGGAATTTATATTAAAGTTTCAGGAATAATATCATAATTTAAATACGTTTAATATGAGGAAAGGTCCTTATTAAAGGCATCGTCTAACAATGTTAAATCTGAGATGCACGGCCCTACGTGTTATCAGTGTCTGTGATATGGTGTAACATAGAAGCCCTAAAAAAATATCGCGCTTCAAAATGATCAAGAGGTGCCTCAAAAGAGTAAAAATCTTTGAGTGACCGATTTTATCATACTCGTTTTCCCAATAGACTGTAGTGTAATGAAAACCGTTAGGAAAACGCAAAATGTGGTTTCGATTTCCAATCATAATCAGACAGGCAATCGGCTTGTAAAAGTCATGGGGTCACTGACTGACCTAAATATTTATAATTATCATTGCAGCATGAGCTAAATCCAAGATTTTGTTTCAGAATCTGAGACAAAGTGACCGGATCCCTTTAAGCACATCGCGTTACTGTATGATGGGAAGATGGCTGTTGGTTCTAACAATAGCGACGGAATGTTGAAACAAGTCATTATTTGTTGTAAAACAGGAAAAAGTAGAGAAACAGTATTTGTAGGCTACTGTATATAAATATGGTAAACATAAACCTGTTGTGTGTTGAACACTTTGGAATCCAAAACATCCTATACCATCATAATATAATATCGTCAAACCAAATTTAGATGAATAAATCTCTCTTGTTTTGAACAATCATTCAAAGCTAAATTGGAGGACTGGTCATGCGATTACATTGTGAAATTTAAAAAAGTGTCTGGAAGCAATAAATATTGGGAAAAGCTGATTTACGAAGTACATAATTAACACTGAGGGGTGTTGAAATTATCAAAATGGAAATAAATTTGTACATGAAGTTTTCCTGAAAATCACACGCATTGGTACGACTTACACACATATGGCATGAAAGTTTGGTGCAAAATTTCCCAACTCTTTCTCTTCATATTTCGAATATAAGGACATATGAAAAGCATTTCTTTTTCAAACTTATTCAGTCCCCTCAATTGTTAATAGCATTTCATCTTTACCAGAAGTTCACAAGACAAGCTAGTACTTTATATTTTCAATGCCTTCGCCCACCGAAGGTACGGACTTGAAACATGGTGATAATTGTATCACCATAAGCCAACCATTTATTAGATTTTTGGATATGTATGTCAAATGCCATAGAGGTCAATTTCAATGAAATGACAGGTAATTAGCCTCATTATTGCAATACTTTAAGAATGGTTTGAGGTATGAACTTAAAGAGAAGGTTGAGTTCTGGGAAGAGGTGAACAAAAAATTGTAAGCGTTATCATCATATTACGCAAGTGTGAAAGAACATCAAATATAACATGTTCCTTGAAAAGCATGGCTCTTCAAATACCTTTATATTCTAAACATGGCATGTAAAATCATAAAATCGGAACGGATTTTTTTGCCACGTGTTCGTTTATTCCCATATACATCTTTATGTGTACAGTGCTTGTAAATATGTAATATAACATTTTGATTATTTATAAGCTCTTTTCCACTTATTAGCATAATATCGCAATGAACAAAAAGACAATACGCATGCGTTACGACAGAATCCTGGGCCTGGCGGGGGCCGGACCATAACTATATCGACCCGAACTTAAATTGTAGAACAAAGGTCAGAGTTGGGCGGGGGGGGGGGGGGGGGTGGGTAAATGAATCTTAAAAGGGTATATTTGGGGGCCAGAAACTTCACTGGATGGAAAATTCACATGAAAAAATAACAAAATAATGACCCCATCTCACGGTCTCCCTTAATTTATTTTAGACCTCTTGTTTGTTAACGTGTGTTTGAATTTACACCATTTACTTATTTAGGTTTTTTGTTTGATCAATGATTATCAATCAAATGGCACAGATCATTTAGCCCACTAAACAAGTGCCATTTTCATATGTTTAATGCCCAAATGATTACTCGTCTCGTCTTCAATGATCTTTCATATTACCCCCCCCCCCCCCCACCTCCCCGACTCTGACCTTTGTTCTACATTTATTCGGCCCAATTTTCTGTCGAGAGTAACGCATGCGCCTTGTCTTTTTTTCATTACGATATTATGCTAATAAGTGGAAATGAGCTCATGAATATTCCAAAATCCCCATTTCGCTGGTGCACTAAACATTTGTCGTCTTCATAGGCTAATACATGAAAAGTGGAAGCAGTGTGCACTTTTGACCCTCCAAAATCTCCCCATGGCTAGACGGATGCAGAAGCGGAGTTTAACCCCGAAAACCCCACCCCCTGCGTACGCGCCTGATCATACAGCATTATGATTACAGAGTGCCTGCATCATCATAATCACCACTATCATTACATATCTTTCGCAAAATAAGAAAATGAAAATATTTTTTAAAAATTAATATTTATGAATATTTATGAATATCAACATAGTTTTTTTCTACAATTATCTTTTTAAATGCAACATGACATAATATCATATCAAGAAAAGGAAGAAAAGGAAGGCAACAATGGGGGGGGGGGGGGGGGGGGGGGGGGGGGGGGGGGTCTCTTTAACACTTTTGACGTTTTGTTGTTGTTTTTTACTACTATTGTCATTATTATTTTCATTATTATTACTATTATTGTATCCCCCGGCAGTATGCCGGAGGTTACTTTGCATTCAGCAGAGTTACGCCACCGCCGCCGCGTCCGCCGCGTCATGTTGTTGTCTACGCTCTATCTGCCACGTTCCTTGATGGATTTCTTTCAAATTTTGTATGTATCTTGGTTAAATCTACACATCTTCAGTGTTTGGTGATGCTGCCACCTGTGTTCGTCTGTTCCATGGTCAAAGGTCATATTTTGGTGGGTGTCTATAGTGTGCGCTCTGCAGTTTATATTTTATGATGGATTTCTTTCAAATATTGTATGGAGATCTATCTTGGTAGAATCTACACAACTACACTTTTAGGCAATGCTGCCCTCATTGTTCTGTCCTTTATAGGGTCAAACGTCATATGTCCTTTATGCGCTTTAACTGCCACATTTCTTGACGGATTCTTTCAAATTTTGTATGGAGGTCCATCATAGTTTACTCCAGGCCTCTTCAGATTTGGTGATGCTGCTACCCAGTGTTCCATCTTTTATAGAGTCAAAGTTGGTATTTTAGGGGAGATCTTGTGTCGCTTTGCAGGTCACATTTCTTGACACATTTCTTTCAAATTTTCTATAGAGATGCATTATACTCTAATCTAAACACATATTATTCTAGTGATGCTGCTCCTAGTCTTGACAATAGTCTGAGTCACTGGTGGCGATATCTACGTCATGGAGAGGGGATCTTTGTCCCTCCTTCAAACATAAGGATGACATTGCCGGGGGATACATTTGCATTGCGCGGCAATGGAGATTACGATATTTATAGTTACTATTATTATTATTATTAGTAGTAGTAGTAGTATTATCATTACTAATAGTATTACTACTATTGTACTACTCCTACATCATTTTATTTTTCCACTTAAATTTAGTTTCGAGTTCAGCATCCCTAAATATATTTGTGAGAACTTGAAGTGACATTAAATATCAAAGAATTATGTTACATGAACATGCATTTAAGAGGACAAATACATAATAATGTCATGGTCCTCGATATATCGTCTTCCCTTCTTCCTCTGGTAGCCTTAAAAAGGCTATGTAGCATATCGCGAAGATGAACTAAAGATTACAAGTGGCATGAGGAAGACAGATGATTTTTTAGGGGATAAGGGCATTAGATGCCTCTGGAGTTCTTGGAAGTTCTTTGGACTGTCAGCATGCACTACATATCATGGAAGGCATTTCCATTCATTCTGAGACAGAGCGTTGGGCAAATGAAAACTTGACTTTGTCGCTTCTGGCTTGATACATCTTGAGGGTCATGTCATGGTTCTTTCGTGTTCGTGATTTGTTGAAGGAAAATATGACTTTCAAGGGAAAGGCAGAGAGACAGTTGCCTATCTTGTGCATCATTCCCAGTCTACTTGCAAACCGCCTTGTAGATAGAGTCGGCCACTGCAACGTCCTGATCTCGGCATTGGATCTTTTTAAGATCCTGCATATCCGAGATGTTGTAGGGATCCCAGACGCCGGAACAGTACTCAAGATGAAGGCAGACAAGGGACTTGTAGGCCTATGAATGAAGCCTGGTAATCAAACCTCCTGGGACAACCTGCATAATAAGAACAAAAAGAGAGAAAGAATATAAGTTTAAAATCAGCTGAACTACATCAGATACGGTTAGTTATTTTTTAACTTTGGTATTGGGCCTGTGTCTGCAGAAATTATAGACTGTCAAATTAAAATAATTCTTCCAGACCTCTGGTCCACGATATTGACGTCTGTTTGCGAATTATAATATCTGTTTGAATGATCTGATATCTGTAGATGAGAAATGTGATGTCTGTTTGAACAATATGGTATTGTCTGTTTTTCATTGAATAAATTTTGGCCCTACTTTGTAGGCAGATGAACTTCCCATCAAGTTCTTGGGGGTAAGAAGGTCAAAGGACAAAGGTCACAAAGACGAAGGTCAATCAGAGACAATTGTGACTTTTTGATCTTGAACATGAATCGCATTCTCATAAAAAAAACATAAATGGATGTAAACTAACTAGTATGCAGCATAATATCGTCATGATCATTGGATGGTGAAAGAAACCGAGTATGGAGACAGGTCATATGATAGATGATAGTGAAAATACCGGTTTGTAAAAGTATGCAATATGTGGTAGAAATTGGTGTTTACGAATTAACTGAAATCATTTATCTTGTTTTCCATCTATAGGTCCTGAAGAAAATGAAAATATCCAGGTGGTGGAACTTCCCATCGTAGGCTGGTTATCTCAGGACCTAAGGCCGGACTTCCTGCCATTGGCAATCCCAGAAGACATCTCAGAGAGACTGGAAAGAGTACATGGTAACCCCGCCGTTTGGTGGATAGGTCAGATCATGACCTACATTCTGAGACCTCAGCCTCAACTCCAAGAACTCATGGACAATGAGACAGCGGCCTTAGGATTCACACATCCGATTGTTGGGTGAGACGAATAAATTGGATTTGATTTGAGTTGATTTGATTTAATTTCTTTTCACTCGTGGTAGAGGAATCTATTTGTTGGTTACCCCCCCCCCCCACCCCCACGCTAGCAAATTTCAAGTCAAACCACCGAAGTATAACAGGGATACCCCATACGAAACTCCAGCAAAGGCCTGTTTTCTACTTCTCATGGGAAGTAATATTGAATTCATAATAGTATACACTGCAGTGTTACGGTACAGTATTACACGGTCCAATACTTGGTAGTGTTTGTACTGTACTGAATATGTTACCGTACAGTTTGATTCTGGCTATTATTGCTACATGTATGTCGTAGTTTATATCACATTTAAGATGCAAACAAAAAAACACATTTCAATAAAAAACATTTTATTTTTCAGTTATGCTGTTTGAGTTGAGTTGAGTTGAGTTGAATTATTTTTTTGTTGTTGGGGGGACCGGGGGAAAATGCAATGAATTATTGATAATTTATTGCATTTTCTTTGTTTTTTGTATTTGTGGAGCGGCGACATACCCTAGCCCCCGCTGCGTACGGGTCAATGTCGCTATTCATAAGGACCGCTATTCATAAGGTCCGCTATTCATAAGGTCCATTATTCATAAAGACCGCTATTCATAAGGTCCGCTTTTCATAATTGGAGAAAAGGGTCATTATTCATAAGGGTCATTATTCATAAGGACCGCTATTCATAATCAAAGAAGAGGGTCGGTATTCATAATATTAGGAGAGGGTCGCTATTCATAATAGGAAAACGGGGTCGTTATTCATAAGGGTCCCTATTCATAATATTACAAAAGGGTCGGTATTCATAACACAGAAAGAGGGTCGCTATTCATAATACGAAATGAGGGTCGCTATTCATAATACAAAATGAGGGTCGCTATTCATAATGCAAAATGAGGGTCGTTATTCATAAGGGTTATTATTCATAAGGGTCATTATTCATAATAAGAAATGAGGGTCGCTATTCATAAAAGGAGAAGAGGGTCGCTATTCATAATAGAAGAAGAGGGTCGGTATTCATAATAGGAGAAGAGGGTCGCTATTCATAATAAGAAATGAGGGTCGCTATTCATGATAGAAGAAGGGGGTCGCTATTCATAATAGAAGAAGAGGGTCGCTATTCATAATAGGAGTAGAGGGTCGCTATTCATAATAAGAAATGAGGGTCGCTATTCATAATAGAAGAAGAGGGTCGCTATTCATAATAGAAGAAGAGGGTCGCTATTCATAATAGGAGTAGAGGGTCGCTATTCATAAAAAGAAATGAGGGTCGCTATTCATAATAGGAGTAGAGGATCGCTATTCATAATAGAAGAAGAGGGTCGCTATTCATAATAGGAGTAGAGGGTCGCTATTCATAATAAGAAATGAGGGTCGCTATTCATAATAGGAGAAGAGGGTCGCTATTCATAATAGAAGAAGAGGGTCGCTATTCATAATAGGAGGATAGGGTCGCTATTCATAAAAGGAGAAGAGGGTCGCTATTCATGATAGAAGAAGAGGGTCGCTATTCATAATAGGAGTAGAGGGTCGCTATTCATAATAAGAAATGAGGGTCGCTATTCATAATAGAAGAAGAGGGTCGCTATTCATAATAGGAGAAGAGGGTCGCTATTCATAATAGGAGTAGGGGGTCGCTATTCATAATAAGAAATAAGGGTCGCTATTCATAATAGAAGAAGAGGGTCGCTATTCATAATAGAAGAAGAGGGTCGCTATTCATAATAGGAGTAGAGGGTCGCTATTCATAATAAGAAATGAGGGTCGCTATTCATAATAGAAGAAGGGGGTCGCTATTCATAATAGAAGAAGAGGGTCGCTATTCATAAAAAGAAATGAGGGTCGCTATTCATAATAGGAGTAGAGGACCGCTATTCATAATAGAAGAAGAGGGTCGCTATTCATAATAGGAGTAGAGGGTCGCTATTCATAATAAAAAATGAGGGTCGCTATTCATAATAGGAGAAGAGGGTCGCTATTCATAATAGAAGAAGAGGGTCGCTATTCATAATAGGAGGATAGGGTCGCTATTCATAAAAGGAGAAGAGGGTCGCTATTCATGATAGAAGAAGAGGGTCGCTATTCATAATAGGAGTAGAGGGTCGCTATTCATAATAAGAAATGAGGGTCGCTATTCATAATAGAAGAAGAGGGTCGCTATTCATAATAGGAGAAGAGGGTCGCTATTCATAATAGGAGTAGGGGGTCGCTATTCATAATAAGAAATAAGGGTCGCTATTCATAATAGAAGAAGAGGGTCGCTATTCATAATAGAAGAAGAGGGTCGCTATTCATAATAGGAGTAGAGGGTCGCTATTCATAATAAGAAATGAGGGTCGCTATTCATAATAGAAGAAGGGGGTCGCTATTCATAATAGAAGAAGAGGGTCGCTATTCATAATGCAAAATGAGGGTCGTTATTCATAAGGGTTATTATTCATAAGGGTCATTATTCATAATAAGAAATGAAGGTCGCTATTCATAAAAGGAGAAGAGGGTCGCTATTCATAATAGAAGAAGAGGGTCGGTATTCATAATAGGAGAAGAGGGTCGCTATTCATAATAAGAAATGAGGGTCGCTATTCATAATAGAAGAAGGGGGTCGCTATTCATAATAGAAGAAGAGGGTCGCTATTCATAATAGGAGTAGAGGGTCGCTATTCATAATAAGAAATGAGGGTCGCTATTCATAATAGAAGAAGAGGGTCGCTATTCATAATAGAAGAAGAGGGTCGCTATTCATAATAGGAGTAGACGGTCGCTATTCATGATACGAAATGAGGTTCGCTATTCATAATACGCCCCCCCCCCCACTCGGCTACGTTCCTGTAGGGGGGGCGATATATAGCCCTGAATAGTTGTCTCTTTTTAAAGTAACTATATTTTATCTGTTATCTTTGATAATTATATAGAGCCAACCCCCGCTCATGTGGTGACGAAAAAAAGTAAAACATAACACACATGTAATCCTATCGTAAATTTTCCTCCTTGTTGGAAATCTTGCCCCATCACCCTGCCCCCGACTGATCTTATCCAGGCTACGCCACTGAGATATTAAGTACGCCAAGCAGGCCCATTATCCATTTTAGCTTGCTATTTAAGAAACTAGTAATTGTTTATACGACAATAATGTTTTTGTAGAAAGTAATTTTTATTAGGACTTATGGACCTACAAATTACTGAGCGGAATTGGACCTGACAATTGGACCTAAGCCCAGTATCTACCGATCCCCCGAGCCCCCCCCCCCCATCAGTACGCCCCGGCGCGGATCCAGAATTTTTCAATTGGGGGGGGGGGGGGGACGGAAATTTGAAAAATGCGCAGACCGTTTTTTCAACTCAACATACCAATACTGACAAGGTCATATTAGAAGCACGATACGGGTACCTAGAAGCAGGAACAATTTTGGAAAGGGGTGCAAGCTCACTTCACGTCTCTTGTCCGATATCAACATTCCCCGTTTTTAAGATATACATTTTTTTGACATTTTCATCTGGGGGGGGGGGGGGGCTAAAGCCTCTTGCCCGATTATTTTCTAGTTCACAATTCTGCTTGTGAGCGAAACGAGCGAGCAAAAATTTGAGCATTATATGTTTTTTGTGAAAGTGTTCTTTATCACCAAGATAAACGAGAAAAGATATCAAAAATTCATATTCGGGCAGCTTGCTGTCCCCCCCCCCTCCCCTCCCCCACCCATTACGCGCGAAAGCTTTGAACTTTCATTCACTATTAGAAAAAGAAGACGATTTATTGTACCATTCTCGACTCTTAATCCTTGTCTGAATTCAGTTTTCCCCCTCGCTTTTACATTTCATTAATTATTAGAGAAAAATTACGATTTGTTGTACCGTTCTCGACTCTTAATAATTGTCTGAATTCTATTCCCCCCTCTTGCGCAAAGCGCGTAAGCTTTGACCTTTCATTGTTTAATGCAATTATTAGAGAAAGAAGATGATTCGTTGTTCCATTCTCGACTCTTAATCCTTGTCTGAATTCAGTTTCCCCCCTCCCGCGCAAAACGTGGAAGCTTTGATGTTTCATTAAATTATTAGAGAAAGAAGAGGATTTGAAGAGAAATGAATATATGATATGAATAGCGACCCCTTACTCCTATTATGAATAGCGACCTCATTTCATATTATGAATAGCGACCCTCTTCTCCTATTATGAATAGCGACCCTCTTCTCCTATTATGTATAGCGACCATCTACTCCTATTATGAATAGCGACCCTCTTTTCCTATTATGAATAGCGACCCTCTTCTTCTATTATGAATAGCGACCCTCTTCTCCTATTATGAATAGCGACCCTCATTTCCTATTATGAATAGCGACCCTCTTCTCCTATTATGAATAGCGACCCTCTTCTCCTATTATGAATAGTGACCCTCTTCTTCTATTATGAATAGCGACCCTCTTCTCCTTTTATGAATAGCGACCCTCTTCTCCTATTATGAATAGCGACCCTCTTCTTCTATTATGAATAGCGACCCTCTTCTCCTATTATGAATAGCGACCCTCTTCTCCTATTATGAATAGCGACCCTCTTCCCGTGTTATGAATAGCGACCCTTATAAGTAATGAACCTTATTTCGTATTATGAATAGCGACCCTCTCGTCGTATTATGAATAGCGACCCTGATTTCATATTATGAATAGCGGTCCTTATGATTAGTGACCCTTAATATGAATTATGAATAGCGACCCTCATCTCACGTTATGAATAGCGGTCCTTATGATTAACGAACCTTATTTCATTATGAATAGTGACCCTCTTTTGCCATTATGAATAGCGGACCCGGAAGTACGGGAATTTACACGTTATGAATAGCGGTCCTTATGAATAGCGAATAGACCCCCTGCGTACAGTCATGATTCAGTGGCTAAGCAATGGCCTCGTTACTGTGAGGCCCGAGAATAAAAACCGTGTCGATCAGCTATATAAGTGCCCTTTTGTGAGGCATTTATCCTCATTGCTGTCAGTTATGACTTAAGGACGTAGGTCCCCTAGTTGATTAGCATAGTAGCACACACATGATTTAGCAGTCACGCAAAACAAACACACGCAAACTATTATTCAATAAAATAAGAGAATGTATACTATTATTCAGATCTATTAGGAATAAATCATTGTCGAAACCATTCCATAAATTGGGGTAAAAAAAATTTCTCCACCTTTATGACCAACAGTGTATATAAAACACCAACCTTTTTTTCCCTTTCTAATACACTTATTTACTCTTCCGATATGAGATTTCCAAGTCAACTGTTGATATACAGGTATATGGATTCCTACAAATGATGCAACATCTACCTGTTTTATTTCGGTGTCGACTATTTTCAATACTCCTTAAATACCTACTGGTTGTCAACTCCCTCGTATAAGTAAATAATTCGTTTTTAACAAATTTACTGTAAGTTTATTCATTTTACACCACGTGGACACCTTATCGAGATGCATATTAACTACATCCATATACCAATAGTAAAAAAAAATTTGGCCTTGAAAATTGAAGGGTCCAAATAAATGCAGCAAAATAGAGGCGGTGCTCCGGTGGGGGTGGGGAGAGGCTCAGTGGGCACAGAGTCTTCCTCACAATTTTTCAAGTACACCAAAGTGTCATTTTTTCCTTCTGATAAGTGCCCATTTTCATCCCTTATAAAGTGTTCCTTTCATCTAAAATTAGTACCCTGTTCTCCTTGTAAACGTCCCTATACAAAATCTTATCAGTGTCCCTTTCTTTATAATGAGTGCCCTTTTCTCTTTAGTGTCTCTTTTACAAAATATTATAAGTGTTCCTTTCTTTACAATGAGTGCCCCTTTCTCCTTTTAAGTGTCCCTGTACAAAATCTTATCAGTGTCACTTTCTTTATAATGAGTGCGCTTTTGCCCTACCGATAAGTGCTCCTTTTAACTATGATAAGTCCCCATTTATACTTCTGAAAAGTGCTCTTTGCTTTCTTTCTGATGAGTACTCTACCTTTTCATTTCTAGAGAACCCTTCAAAGCGAATTAGTGTCCCTTTTCAAATGTGATAAATGCCCTTTACAAATGTGGCAATGGTTCCGAAATTCCAAGGAACTGCCATGCACATTACCCTAAAATAAATTATGGTGAAAATAAGCCATTATCGGTATAAATGCTACACGACACTTCGTCACCTCAGCCACAAAAAAATGGGACCATAATTTAAAGCAAACGAGAGCATTATTTTATGAAATTTCTCCAAGCTTGCTCTCTACGTTCGATCGCATTTATAGTATACGCCTATACGGAATTATTGAATTAAATTGATCGAGTGAAGTATGTTGACATCAGTTATATTATCTTAATGCGACCTACAAATCATAAAAAAATTCTGCTCGCTCGCACTTTAGACCGTTAAAAACAACCGCAAAGTATGACGCGAAAGCAGAAATGAAGATCCAGATAAAGAGAGAAACAATTATAATAATAATAATAATAATAATAGCTAGTTCTTATATAGCGCTTTTCAGGACCGAAGGCCCTCTCAAAGCGCTTTACAGATATATATATTATTACCCCGGTCATATGATTCAGGCTTACCCGCACACAATGTATGCACATTCTCCACTCCCTGGGGAGCATTCCAGCGATATTGTATTGTATTAATCAGATTGTAGGAGTAAACATGTGTACAAAATGATGTCTCAATATTGCATTCTGTTAACGCTTTGTGATTACTATGTGTAGGTGCCCCTTTCCCCTCCAAAGTGCTTTTTATTTTGATGCTCCTTCACCTCTGCATTGCAACTAACAAACTTGATTTTCAGATAGAAAAAATGCCTTTGAACACATGAATAATCAACACTAACACAATTGTCAAATATGTAGTACATTATAGAGCAATACATGTATTACATTGATTAAGACTTTAAATCACTAAGGTACATTTCTAGCTTTGTCAGTCAAAACAAAACGAGCTGAGGGTTTGGAGCTCTTCCGGATATCTTGATTACTAGCATTGATTTCACGATAATCTTTTCCCTCAATGACAGCGTTCAAGTGAGGCGTACAGATAAGCTCGTCCAGGAAGCCAAATTTCATTTTATCGAGGAGTACATGCTCTACGTCGAAGAATTCTACCAGGAATTGGAGAAGAGACAAGAAGTGCCGGTCAGGAGAATCTTCTTAGCAACAGACGAGGCCAGTCTGCTCGAAGAAGCTAAGAAAAAGTGAGTTTAGGACAACATTCGTGGCTTAAGAGCACCAGAACACGTAAAGGTATTGTGGTATTATGGATAGAACTGGAATTCTAATCCCTGCCATATAGCTCGCTCTGAGTCTTTTGGCAAGACATTTAACTACATTTGTTAATTGCCACAATCGACACAGGTAAAGCGAATGGGTACCCGCAGGTAGTAATTCCTTGAATGCTTCAGTGCCTTCGTCAGGGCATTTTGGCTATATCAGAGGTAATAATCCAAACTATTAATTTGTAATATGCGCCATACAAGAACTGAGTATTTTGATATGGTGGTAGGGTGATTTGATAGAGATGTTTACCGTTTGCCCTTTTGGCAGACAAATCATAGTTTTTTTTCCTAGGTCATGTTCGGAACCTCAAATCAAGGTACGAGATCCCAATGAAAACTTCGGAACACAGTAATATTTGTACAGCAAATATTAATAACAATAATAATAATAATATCGGATAAAAACAAAGCGCACATACCCACCGCGTAAGTTGCTCAAGGCACCCTATATTACTCCGGCTCTGCTAGACTCTGTATCAGTGATCATAACGTTCGAGGAATTCCTTCCTGCCGGTACCCATTCAACACCAGGGTGGAGAGTGGCAAATTTAGATTAAGGTGTTATCGAGCGAAAGGGAGGGGGCGGGGGGGGGCGGGTCTGATTTAAAAAATGAAATCCACAATCTTAGATTTTCATCACTATACAATTTAATCCCAAAGAAAAATCAAAACAGGTTACAAATAAAAAAAGAGATATAATATATACTAGTAATCAACATACAGTTACAAAGGGAGAAATAAATCTACGAATTGGGATTATCATCATCAATGTAAAGTAGTAAAAAAAGAAGAATGATATCTAACAAGCAGGCACATAAAAATGAAAGAAGGGAGTTCCGGGCCCCTTGGCAGTCCTGAATACGCCCCTCATCTTCTTTTTATACCCAGATCTATGGAAGGCCCCATCATTCAAAATGGGATAAATTCATCTATATATATTCTGGAAAGTAACTTTTGGTAAAAGTAAATACAAATAAAACTTAAAAATTACAATCAAAAGGCATTTAAGTTTTTGAAAAGTCAACTCATCTCTCTATATTTTTTGTCATTACAGAAGGTTGCTTGTTGTTTTGATGTGGGGGGGGGGGGGGGGGGTCTTGTGGCAAATGAAATAGAAAGGTTAATTTCATATCATTTGTTTTTCTTGATCATAGATAAAAATTATATCTTATCGGCACTTATTTGATAATTCCAAACATTCAATCATAGAGATTGATCGATAAAGTTCTAAAAACATCTCAAATAATATATGAAAAATAAATCACAATGTCACAATCATTTCATGAAGTTCCATGTCGGGGATCGATACCATAATCTTCGCATCTCGAGTAGACTGTTTGAACACCGCTGCGAAGTATTTTGCAACCTGACTTTATGTACATATTTTGTTTCTTCTATAGATATCCTGGTTATGTGTTTGTCAGTGACAATACAATATCTCAGTCAGCCAAAGTATCAACAAGATTGTCAGAGGAATCTTTAATGGGTATCATCTATGACATTCATCTTTTGGCTCGTTCGGATTTTCTTGTTTGCACCTGCACCTCAAATGTATGTATTTCTTAATTTTTTGCGATTTTCTGTTGCATAATATGTAGAACTGTTATCTATTTATTCATTCGTTTATTTATTTATTCATTAATTCAATTTGTAATTATTCATTTTTTATTTATTCATTTATTTATTTAAAGTATTTAATTTGCTTACTTTTTATTCATTCATTCACTCATGTATCTACCTTTAAATTTATGATACCGATCAACTTGAAAAAGCATACAAAAACGCTTAAACTATTTCTTCTATTTTTGAGGGGGAGGGGTAGGTCACTTTGGAGTGTTAAACCTATTAAATTTTATGATTCGGATAGGTAAACAGAGCGCTGGTTGATGTTATTCCCTTAGAAGTCCACGCCATCTACCCCTTACAGCATCTTCCCCTTTTAATAACAAATTAAAAAAATCATACCTCTTTCTTCCCAAAAAAATAAATGGCCGATGGATTATCATCATCAATAGTGATCTGTCAGTTTATGACAGGTTTAGTGACCATATCAGAAGCCTACATCAAGTGTCTCTCATAGTACCTCGGTCTTGAGCCATCCGTTTCAGCATTTCATATCCTATTGCTCCACATTCTGCGATTAAGTCATCTAGAAAGCCTTTACGAGGTCTTCCCCTCATCTTCTTTCCAACGACCTTCTATGACTCTGATCATCAAGCCATCATCATGCCGCATTATGTGTCCTAGCCATTTCTTCTGTCTCTTTCTCTCTGATCGTTTGAAGCAGCACCCGCTTTTCTTGAGGTCGATGCCACACCTCTTCATCCGAAACTCTGTCCCTCCAAGACACACCTAGTAATTTACGCCAGCACCACATTTCGACCGCCTCCAATCGCTGAATGTCTTTCCTGACGAGTGTCCACGTCTCTGCCCCATACAACGTCACACTCCATACTAGAGAGATAATTATATTGTCGTTGAAGAAGGTAGCTCGTGCCAGTGCTGAGAGCAAGTTGACCTCTTTGGCGCACTATCCATCCTCAGTCAGCACACTGTCCAGATACTTGAAGTGGTTGACTTGCACTAGTCTGTTGCGATTTATAATGACGGTTATTGATTTTGTCTTGACCTTACTTATCATCGTCACCTTCGTTTTCTTCTCGTTGATTCTCATGTCATAGCTCATGACCACTTGGTCCATCTGTACCATCTGTCTTTGAAGGCCATCGGCAGTGACAGCGAGTGTGATCTGATCATCAGACTTAATTAATACTCCTCCAACGTTCACCCCTTCTTCTAACATTGCCAGAGCTTCTCTTACCATTGCATCTGCATAGATATTGAAGAGAAGAGGAGACAGAAGGCACCCCTGACGTGTTCCACGTCCAATGATGGCTGGTTCAGAGACCCCATCTCCAACGTGAACGCGTGCAGTTTAAGACATGCACAAGGATGCAAGAAGTCTACGGTGTTTCCAATCAATACCTAATGCTGACAGCACTTTCATCAGCCTAGTTTAATTGACACAATGTCTTTTCGTAGTCCACAAAACTGATATATAGGTCCTGACCATGCTGTTTACATCTCTCACTTAATATTCTCATTAAAGCAATTGCTTCTCGGGTACCGACCCCTTTACGAAAGCCAAATTGGCCAATTCCAATATAATATTTGGACCTCGCTTTTATCCGATGGTGGAGTACATTTAGCAATACTTTTGAAGCATGTGATACCAGGCTGATGGTGCGGTGATCCTCGCATCTGATTGCCTTTGTAGTCTTGGCGGTGGTGGTAATGTTTATTTTAACTGACTGGTAAGAGAGCATAAATGCTTGTAAGTAAGCAACCAGACGGTCGACGGCTTTAGGTCCTCTCTGAGGGACCTGGTAATGAGGCTTAATGCCTTACCAAAGGGCACTAGCGCATCGCCTTGGTTTCGAACCCGGGTCACCGGATTACGAGACCACTGCTCTACCGACTGAGCTATCGCGCTTCCTCTAGTCTTCTTAATAGTTATCAACTGGCTTCTTGTCCAATCCTCTGGCCACATTCCCTGTTAATAATAATAATAGTGAACATTTATAATGCGCCAAGTCTGTCAAAGTTACACTCCTGGCGCAGTTGCATGAAAATTAAACCTTTTGTTACATAACTGTACAAGCGAGCTAGAAACAAACGACGCTTTCATTATATAGTGAAGATATTACTTCGCCAACAAAATTACACACTGCCCGAATATGACGATTTTCAGGCATCCCATCGCCAAGACTATTTCCAGAGCGAGCAATCCGCGTGGGCGAAAATGAAAACTTTAATCTCTTGGAAATGTTGTTTCATCATCAAAATTCACTAGCTTGGATATAAAAGTAGAATATTCGGGGACCTAGCTGCCCAAACATAAAGATATTCAGGAACCCAAATGTGACTATATTCGAGTATGTCGCTGCCGAAATATGACGTGACTGTTGCTCGAATTGAAACTCCATCCTTACCCCCCCCCCTCGCCTTGTAGGTCTTTGATTGCAACAAAGCAGTGGATCGAGTTGCGACATTTTAGCGTAAGCTGCTTTCTATTTATTTGTTCTTCAACCGGGTGGCAAAATTAACGAAGTCTCTGGAGGAATATGACAATGTAGCAAGGTAGCAGAAAGCCCCCTCTCTTTTTGCGTTTTATGTGCCCCTTCAAGTGCCAAGCGGGGCACATGCCGCCCCACCCGTCTTCACATGCCCCACTGGTGAAAATTCTTGGGTAGCTTTCATTATCTGTAGATGCCTATTGCTCACTGCTTTCTGTGACATAAATTATATATGTCGATAGTGGTATAACACGACGTGTGCTTCGGGCTTTACAGTCATGCACCCTTTATTCTGCAATATCGAGAGAGATCGGGAGAAACAAAAAAATAGGACGCCATACCACACTTAAGAATTTTTTTCTCAAATTGGGTGATGCCCTAGAAGATGACCTTTTCGTGTTTCTATTTTTTTTCTTCTTTTTTGTTGTTGTGAGAAATGCCGATTCAACCAGTATATTTATTTCTTTAAATGCCAAGGATGAATCTTAAACAATCACAATAGTTTTTACTAAGTAATATAAGTCAAAAGAGATCTAATACCGTGATTACAACACAAATATAGCGTCTATTTTTTAACGATGTAAAATCAAGCTTATAGAGTGGAATACCATACACAATATCATGCCCACAGATCATATCCTTTACGTTAATCGCCCGAGCCTCCTAAAGTTCCGCTGTGGAATTGATAAGCACGGCCGGTTGTGACCATGGCTTAAAGAAGAAGGACCTTCGAAATCAGCCTAATATGCAAACTAACAGTCCTAATATTAATAAATGGTAGCCAACTATATTACAGAAAATTTGATTGTATATTTTTTAGAAGTTGTTTACTTCTAAAAAGGGAAACGCTACATGCAAAAGATAAATTAATAAACATGTATTATAATACAAATGACAATATGAATACTTTGCTCTCTCTCTTAACGCAGGTTTGTCGACTAGCTTATGAGATGATGCAGGATTACCATGTGGATGCTTCAACCAAAGTCCGCTCCGTTGACATTGGATACTACTGGTATGGTCAGAGACCCAATAGCTTAGGCAAAAGAGTCAAGATGCCTTTGTATGAAGGTTCTGAGAACATTCCCTTGTAATCACCGAAGCCTGTTGTCCGTTCGAAAGGCCATCATTTATACCTTATAGATTGGTTGATTGAAAACAATTATTTTCATAAAACATTGAACAGCATGCATCCCAAAATACAAAGAAATAAAGAACTACCAATCGCTGTGTAAACAAAATTGCCACTTGTCTATTATACCATAATCACAATAATATAGTGCCGGATAAAATATTACATGACTGAAGATCTGACACATGAAGACCTCATCGAGAAGAGAAGGTGGAACACAGCCGTTCAGCATGTAGGGCATGTATCTACAGGAACTTTTTACAAACAAATTAAAGCTCCGGCCGCTTCTCAGCCGGGAAGTACGATGCGACTCGGAAACGTAGCGGTCGCCTTGAAGACATTAGGTTCTGGTCTTTTAACAATAGACTTTGCCTTAATGAACGAAAATATGAAATGATCCAAATTACTTCCAAATTCAGAAACTTTCCCGACTTGGTTACCGGAGATGGTTCACTGAAGGGTAGTGGATACGTACTAGACCTTGGTGTTTTAATCGACAACAATCTTATATTTCAGCAGCATATTAAAAACGTCTGTATTAAAATCTGCATCTTTTGGAATCATTAAAGCCACAAATGTAAGTCCTTGCTGAAAACGTACGCTTTTAATTCATGGATGATATTCTGCAGTCGGTCAAAGGAGGTGCACACCGTATTATTCCTTGTTTGTTTGATCTCATGTTTGACCTTTAACATGTTTGATCTCATTTATATTATCATTATTATATATATGCATGATTTATTGAATAAAGAACAGATTCAAAATTTGTGCGTTAATTATAAGTTTTGGTTTATAATTTTTAGTCAGACAATGTTGCGCTTATAGAGACACCCGTATTAAGCCCCTAATAAACGTTGTGGATTATTATTATCATTAAGTGGAGGAACCAAGCGGGAGTCCCGTACGAGTTCAAATCGGACAGTTTTGTCCAGACTGTTAAGTGAATTTATGTATGTATATATATATATAATGTATGATATGACATGTAGAATGTATAATATACAGTTAACAACTAATTATTCATACCCCTCGTAAATTTGATGTTTTTGTGTTTTTCGTAACCTGAGAATGAAAGGTGGACTGGTTGATGAATTGGGGCCTTTGTTGAATATTTTGAGATGTAAGTTTTAATATACAACTTAATTTTTCACAAACTTAAAAATGAAAACATACTTGGTAAGGGTATAAATAATTAAGTTGATAAGTGCATTATGTAAAACGGAAAGTTTGAATTATTACATGTTATAAACTCATTTGCATCCCTCCTTAATTTCCTTCCTTTCTCTTTTTTCTCATTCCTATTCTTTTCTGTGTCTTCTTGTCTCTCTTATATCACTCTCTGTGCATATCTCGCTTTAACGAATACTCGCGAAAGGTCGCCATTGGCGGCCTTTCGCGCGCTTTTTGTGAGCGATATAAGGTGTTGAAAGGACGTTCTTGAGAGTTGACACGATTGTGGATTGGAAAAACAAAACAAAATAAGTTGGTGAATGCTATCCGAAAGCCCCCATCACCCAAACTAGTTCTCACTACGTGCTGGAACCGTCCTAGAAAATCGTAAAACGGATTGTGGTCGGGGTAGAATGTGTAAATAATGTATTTAATACGATCCTATTTCGTTCATAAACAGTCCTCATTTCGTCCATCTCGTCTGTACCCGTCCATAGTCAGTTGATATCAAGTTCAGATCGGATACGTTTGCCATTTCCAAGCAGTCCAAGCCCGTCTGTAATTAGTTTAGACCCGTAGTTCGCAAATTGTTCCAACTAGTTTGTAACTTTGTTTATAATTTTGAGCTCTGTCAAAAAATCGTCTCAATAATAATCATGGCATAACTTTGGAAAACTATGAATTTCTTGATACACTGTCGCTCATATAGCTGGAATATTTTTGTTTTACCCTAAGTTATGGAATTATTTTAAAATAATTTAAAAATAATAGATCTAGATAATAGTATACATTCTCAGATTTTATTGAATAATAACTTGACAATGTGTGTTTTGCGTGACTGCTTATGCATGTGTGTGCTACTATGCTTATCAATTAGGGGACCTACGCCCTTAAGTCATAAATGACAGTAATGAGGATTAATGCTCCACAAAAGGGCACTAATATAGCACATCGACACGGTTTTGATCCTGGGGCCTCACGGTTACGAGGCCATTGCTTTGTCACTGAACCATGACTGTACGCAGCGGGGGCTAGGGTAGGGGGCAGTTTCCATAAATAAAAAAAAAACACAAAGAAAATGCAATAATTTGTCAATAATCTATTGCATTTTACCCCGGTTCCCAACATTAAAAAAAATCCTCTGTGTGCCCATGCCTTGAGCCATAATGCATGGCCGTCCAGAGGATTTTTGTATGTTGGGGACCGGGGTAAAATGCAATAAATTATTGAAAAATTATTGCACTTTCTTTGCGAAGCCTCAATCGCTGATGTAGCGTGATTTCATTTCATTTCATTTCATTTATTTTCCACATTAAAAACCTAGAAGAATATACAAGGTAAAAGAATACATTTTTTTACATTTGACACATAGAGCGAAATAAAAACAGATACTTAAGAACGATGAAAATCTACATCAGTTAACAAACATCAACATTAAAACATAAAAAGGTAAGTAATTATGTAGATGGGGCTAGAAAAAGCAAAGCTTATCAAGTCTAGCCCCGGTAGCAATGAAGTCCCCCTGAGAATGTGTGTGGCCAAGTAAAGGCGGAGTAAACCAGTGGCGGATCCAGGGGGGCCAGGGGGCCAGGGCCCCCCCCCTGGGAAAAAAAGAAGGAAAAAAAAGAAGGAAAAAAAAGAAGGATAAAAAAAAGGAGGAAAAAAAAAGAAGGGGAAAAAAGAAGGAATAAAAAAAAAGGGAAAAAAAGGAGGAAAAAAAGAGAGAGAGAGAAGGGAAAGAGGAGAGAAAGGGAAAGAAAGAAGAGGAATCAGAAAAGAAAAGGGGGAAGAAGTGATCGGGGGGGGGGGGGCGAAAGAGCCTCGCCCCCCTTTCCCCCAAACACAAAAATAAGAGAGAAGGGGGTATCAGTTGCAATTTTTCCGCCAACAAGTTGTGGATCGGGGTGGGGCAAAATGCCCTTGCCTCCCCCCGCCCCGCTAAAAAAAGAAAGAAAGAAGGAAAAGAAAAAAAAGGAGAGCTAAAAGGGACCGAAAAAAAAGGTGAAAAGAAGGGGAAATTGATCATTTGCAGTTAATCCCGCCAACAACGTGCCTTCCCCCATCAAACCTTAAAGAGAGAGAAGGAAGGGAAGGGAAAGGGAAAGAGGAGAGAAAGGGAAAGAAAAAAAGAAAGAAGAAAGGTAGGGGGGATCAGTTGCGATTTTTCCGCCAACAAAGTGTAAATCGGAGGGAGGGGGCTCGGGGGAAATAAAATTTAAACGTGGTTTATTTCTACTTCCATAACGGTGGTTTTACACATAATGACATAAGTTCTTGAGATTTTTCCTCATTCTTTAGTAAATTATATTTTTGTATGCGTTTGTAAATTAACAGCCAGGCAAGAAATATGCTTCTTAAGATGCCTACATGTCAGGGCCCGGAGAACGGCGGGGATCGAGAACCTCCAGCTCCCCCCCCACCCTCCAAAGAGAGCAAGAAAGAAAGAATAGTTAACTACCAGTGTCACAACAAAATAAGGTATCAAAAATTGCTCATCTGACCGTAATTAAACGCCTTAAACCCCTGAGCTCTGCCCCCGGGACCCAACCAAGGGCCCTTGGGCAGGCCCCTTGATCTTCTGGGGGCTCCATCCGCTGGACCTCACGCCAATCAGTGTCCTGCCAGTGTCACAATAAGGTATAAAAATATGTTCATCTGACCGTAATCAAATGCCTGAAACCCCTGAGATTTAGGGGTTTCCGCACCCTCGACCCCAAAAGCAAAAGCTTCAGCGCTTAGCGCGAGCGGATGGGAGGGGAATGGGGGGGGGGGAAACTGAATTCAGACGAGGATTAAGAGTCGAGAACGGTACAACGAATCGTCTTCTTTCTCTAATGATTTAATGAAACGTAAACGTAGGGGGGAGGGGAACTGAATTCAGACGAGGATTAAGAGTCGAAAATGGAACAACGAATCGTCTTCTTTCTCTAATGATTTAATGAACGTACAATCTTCCGCGCTTCGCGCGGGAGGGGGGGGGATGAATTTAGACGAGTATTAAGAGTAAAAAACGGTACAACGAATCGTCTTCTTTCTTTAATGATTTAATGAAACGTAAAAGCTTGAGCTTCGCGCAGGAGGTGGGGTAACTGAATTTAGTCAAGGATTAAGAGTAGAGAACGGTACAACGAATCGTCTTCTTTCTCTAATGATTTAATTAAACGTAAAAGCTTCCGCGCTTCGCGCGGGAGGGGTATAACTGTATTCAGACGAGAATTATTTTCGAGAATGGTACAACGAATCGTCTTCTTTCTCTAATGATTTAATGAAAGGTAAAAGCTTCCGCGCTTTACGCGGGAGGGGGGAGGGAAGAATTTAGACGAGGATTAAGAGTAAAAAACGGCACAACGAATCGTCTTCTTTCTCTAATGATTTAATGAAACTTTAAAGCTTCCGCGCTTTGCGCGGGAGGGGAAAACTGCATTCAGACGCGCAGGCGCGTACACGGGGGGGGGGGGGGGGGGGGGGGGGGGGGGGGGGGGGGGGGGGGGGGGGGGGGGGGGGGGGGGGGGGGAGGTACGGTTTTGGTTGAACCCCCATATGGAAACGTTGTATCATCCGCTCAATCTGACTTGCGTGCATAGAACAAAATTAATAAGCATTTTTCCATGAAAAAGTGAAGTTTTCTAAAATGTGCGTTTCTTTCCAGCATTGGGGCGCCCGGAAGTCACTCGGGTAACATTTCATAAAGTATAATATAAAAAGACCATATGCAAATTTTCTGTACTTTTGTCGGAAAAAATACATTTATCCAGCACAATGTCGTCTCTTTTTGCGTTGGAGAAGAGCAAATAGCGAGTTTCAATCACACTTTGGCCGATCTCGCAAGCTCTCACTCGTTTCACTGTGGTCAAGAGACTTTGGGGCAAGCGGTTAATGAAAATACTAATCGTTAGCTTTCTTCTGGTATCAAACTTATTTTGATTGATTGTATAATTTTGTCGAATAAAGGAAACAAAAATGCTCGACCAACAACTCATCAGCGTCTGAATTGACCTTTTGACCTTGAATTCCCTGATGCAAGCCGGCACTAATGACGTGATCTTTGCTAAATCGGTGTCTTTTATCGTAAAATGCGACACTTTCACAATGTTTATACATCTTTTTTTATTATTAGTAAGATATAACATATTTTTTCTGATATCACTGAAGTTTTGGGTTTCATTTAATGAGTAATTTTAAAATAAGAGCCATTTTATTGTTTTAATTTACTGGATCGTACCATTAAAGTTGCAGGGTAGAAAGATGCATTTTCCAACCGCGCCAAATTTAATTACGTTCCGACATTATGTTAAATGGGTTCGTGTTGTTAAGAATCCCCTGCTTTCTGCTCCAATAAACGTCCACATGCGGAGTCGTTTATCAACTAAATTATTCAAATTTATGGATGCTTCCTAGCTTCCCAGGTGTTTGTGTTGCTGTTGAAGCATTTCATTCACCTGCTATCATTCTTTGTACTCCAATTGCCAGAACGCAAATTTCATTTTAGTTTTATAGTTTCATCGGAGTCGTTTATCATATATATGTATTCAAATTTATGAATGCTTCCTCCCCAGGTGTTTGTAGTGTTTATGCATTTCATTCACCTGTTATTATTCTTTGTACTCCAATTGTTAGAATACAAAATGCATTTTGGTTATATAGTTTCATGCAATAAGTAAGTCAATAAAAGAGTATGTTCTGCACAATAAAAACAATGTGTGTCCCTATTGTACAATGTAATGTGTCCCCTCATTTTTATAATAGTTATTTTACCCATTCACATAATGGAACTACCTGCCCGATGAAGCCATTGGCCTGTGACCCCTGAGCACTCAACACCGTGTGGGAGTCAGTTCGTGCTCATA